CAGAAACAGCGCTGGGTGCAGCGTGTGCGAGATGGGCGACCAGCGACAGCAGGTTCTGCCACTACGAAGCGAGAGGTGGAAGGCGAAGCTAGAGACCGATGGCCTCAGCCACAGCGCTGGGACCAGGGTGTGCGAGAAGTGCGAACAGCAGGCGGCTTCGACACTACTGTCCCAGAGGTGGGAGGCGAAGCTGTAGTCCGAGCTCGTTGACCGCAACTCTGAGAAGGGCGAGATCACGCGGGCATGTATCATCAGCACGAGCGCTGGGACGTGCTCTTGCGACAAAGGGCGGGCTGACATCATCAGCCACAGTGCTGGGATCATGTCGGGCGCGAGCGCGCGAGGCGACATCCTCAGCACCACCGCTGGGGGGAGTTCGTGCAAGAAGGGAAGTGCAGACATCATTTGCTAGAGTGCTGTAGGTAGGCGGTGCGAGAATGCCAGGCAGTGGCAGGAGTGGAGTAAAGGAAGAACGCGAACTCAATGTCATCAGCTGCCTCGCTGTGCCCATCACCGAAGCCAGTGGAGGGCAGTGAGGGCAGACGCGATCAGCTTCAGCGTTGGGACCGGCTCGTGCGGAGCAGGCTCAAGAGCGCGGGTGCAGCAGTCTGAGAGCATGGGCAGGCAGCGACAACAGCGGTGTCAAGTGGCAACCAGCGCTGTCAGTGCGAGAGAGCGGGCAGCGGCAGCAGGTACTGACAGTCAGCGCAGAGAAACGCACCCAATTCAGTCAACACGGGTCGGTTTCGGCAGCGGTGCCAGGGCGTGCGAGCAGGGCAGGCCGAGCGAGAAGGCAGGCAGTGGCCGCAGCGGGCTGCAGCGCCAGAAGCCATGCATCATCAGCTACAGAGGGAAGCAGCGCGCGGGCGTTGCAGCAGCGCGTCCGCGGATTGGCAGGGGGAGCTGGCTTGGGGGTCGGCTGGCGGGGAGAGCTGGGGCACACGTCATCGGGTCACATCTTGCTCATATCAGCTACGGTGCTGGAATCAGCTGGTGTGTGAGGGGCCAGAGTTTGGCCGCGTTCTGTCGGTCCTGGGACGGCCAGGGTGGCATGGCATGGCCCCGGGGCCATCGGGGGGGTACTTGCATGCCTCCTGGTCACCCGTGTGACCGCCACGATCCCCTGCGACACTCCTCCCTCCTCCCCTCCTCCTCCTCCGTCTTTTTCGCCTCCACCTCCTCCTCCTCCTCCTCCTCCTCCTTCTCCTGCTCATCATCAGTATCAATACCAACATCACCATCGCCATCACCATCACCATCACCATCACCATTACCATCAGCATCAGCATCAGCATCAGCATCAGCATCAGCATCAGCATCAGCATCATCATCATCATCATCATCATCATCATCATCATCATCATCATCATCATCAGCAGCAGCATCATCACCATCGTCGTCATCTGCTGTCATCCTTCGTCACTCCTCCGCCCCCATCCGTCCCCCCTGCTCGTTCTCCACCCCCCCTCCCCTCCCCCTGCCCACCCTGCCCCCCGCTGCCACCCTGACGAGCATCTCGTTGTGCATCACGTCGAAGCCGAGCCCGAACCTCTTGGCCTGGTGGCTCCTGCTGGCGGCGCCGCAGCAACGGGGGGGACGAAGGGCAGGGGCTGGCGCGGAAAGCAGCCTCCCCTCCTCCCCACCAGAAGCGAGCTATCCGAGAAGGCCCGGGGGCGGCAGGGACCCGGGGCCCCTTGGACGCCACGCAGCCTCGCCTCTGTCAGGGCGGCGTAGTGACCGAAACTGGCGCCCGAACAACTGCCCGTGGGTGGCCGAAAGTGGCGCCCGATGTTTTGTCCGAACGCGCCAAGAGAGTGACCGAAGACATTGGTTCGAAACCACTGCGAGTTCAACTTCGGTCGCAGTTTCGGGTTTCGGTCAGGCTACGTTTTCGGTCCTAATTTCGGGCACGCTGTCGGTCACCGATGTTTGCTCGGTCGCCTACCCTTTTCGGCCGATTGGGGCGGGGCGCCATGACAGACGGAGACTCTGACATGGCCATCGTGCTACCCTGAGGGCCGCCGAGCAGGGAACGAATGAGCCTTGCTGGCCCATAGCGAGCCTCGGCCACGACCCCCCGGGGGGGGCAGTCCTGAGACGCGGCGCCTTGGCTGTCAGCCAGGACGCCGGCGCGCGAGAGCAGGCTGCAGCCGAGGGCGGGCAGCACGATTGAGGTGCCACGTCACCTGGGGCAACGGGCTCACGCAGCGATACATCGCCGACGGATCGGCGATGGGGCCCCCCGATCGCAAATTCGCACGGTCCTCGCGGGCTTGGCTGTCGGGCCCCCTATCAGCGATGAGTGGGCGATGAGGGGGTCGACGCTTCCCCCTGGGGCCCATCGCACCCCTAACGTTGCCCCTGAATGGCCCATCCTTCGTTTCCTCCCGCCCGTCGTGAAACTTATTCGTGGCCGAGGCTCGCCGTGGCCAGAAGAGCCTCTTCGATCCTTATCTGGCGTTCCTGGTGGTGGGAAACCAAGGAAATATGTCAGGAGGGGGGGATGAAGCCAACTCCGCTCAACATCGGCCCCCGGACCCCTCCTGACCCCGGACCCGTCTTTCGAAATCCATGAGCCCGCAAACGGCATCCAGAGGCGGACAAAGAGAGAAAACCTCTCCGAGCCCAGAACCTTGAAACTCTTTCCCCCTTGCCGTCGCTCGGACGTCCATTTCCCGTGCCTATTTCGCTCTCGTGCGTGTTTGCTGTTATTAGTATTATCATAATTATTAGTATTACTATTATTATTAGTAGTAGTAGTAGTAGTAGTATCATTATTATTATGATGATTATTATTACGATCATTATTATCATTATTATTATTATTATGATAATTATTATTACGATTATTAATAGTATTATTACTATTACTATTATTATTATCATTATTATTATTAGTAGTAATATGATTAGTATTATTACTACTACTACTAGTAGATTACTATTACTATTACTAGTATTACTATTACTATTACTATTATGATTATGATTATGATTATGATGATGATGATGCTGATGATGATGATGATGATGATGATGATGATGATTACTATCATTAGTACTACTATTATTTGTTGTTTTTTTGCTCGATGGTCCAGGATGGTCAGCGATGGTTCTGGCCGAGATAAACATGCACACCTCCGAGCGATGCCAGGCCCCTCCCTGCTGGCCGGCGCCCGTGCTGGGCCGCCTCCGCCCACCCGGCGGCCCTCGCCGCGAGGGCCTCGGCTCCCCCGCGGGCGCCCGGCACGCGGGGGCGGGCCCGGGCGGCCCCCGAGCAGGGCTGTCCGGGGGGTCATCGGGGGCGGTCGTGCGCCGGGCACGCCCCTCTGCAGGAGGAGTGCTCGAGAGCAGTACAGTCGGGGCGTTGACCCAAGGAACCCAAAATAAGGAACGAGGCCCCTTTTTTCCATGAGTTAAACTTCGATGTCCGATCGAAAACACAAGGAAAACCTGAGGCAAGCTGCGAAACACGAAAGGAACGCGGCACGTCCCTCTGCAGGAGGAGTGCTCCAGAGGAGTAGAGACCAGTGGTGACTGACACGAGATGATGGCAACTTCGATTCGCAACTTCTCCGGTGGATTCTAAAGTTCGGCCTCCGCGCCCTTCTCCACAGCTACATCCCGTTGAATAGGGATCATAAAAAATAGAAGGCCTTAAGGAGTACTCAAGAGTAGTAAAAACAAAAACGGTGGCTAGTTCTCGTGCTCGTTCGCTGTGTTTGCTACTCTGTTCTGCGTATGTTGTCTTCCAAAATCCGCCTGCGGGAAGACATGCCCGACCTAGGGGTGGTCGCCTGCAGGAGGAGTGCTCAAGAGGAGTAGAAACCAGTGGTGACTGACATGAGATGATGGCAGCTTCGATTCGCAACTTCCCCGGTGGATTCTAGAGTTCGGCCAGCCGCGCCCTTCTCCACAGTTACATCCCGTTGAATGGGATCATAAACATAGAAGGCCTTAAGGAGTGCTCAAGAGTAGTAGAGACAAGAATGGTGGCCAGTGCTCGTGCTCGTGTGCTGTGCTTGCTGCTCTGTTCTGCGTATGTTGTCTTCCAAAATCCGCCTGAGGGAAGACATGCCCGACCTGAGGGTGGTCGGCGACGCCCGGGGGCGCCGCCGCCAGCGCACCCCATGGGCGCTCCGCGCGGACCCGCGGGGGCACTGCTGAGGCCAGCTGCGGGGGGAGGTCGACGACCCACGGCCACCGAGCACGGAGTCGCCGGCGTCGATCCTGGTCATCGCCCATCCTGAAGGGGCCCTGGGACACACAGACAAATGCACAAATGACAGGATTCCCCATATTTTCCCGGATGTTCTGGGTTTCTGTCTGCCCCCCCCCCCCCTCCAAAATTATCCCATATTTCCTGGGGAATCGACGATTGATTGTGTCTGTGTGTTTTTTTCCTTCCTGAATCTTGGTCATCTGGTAGAGGGAAACAATTAGTGAACACCCCCGCTGCCCCCCCAAACTCAAAGTTGGCACGCGCGGGGGAGGCTGCGGGCGAGGTGCAACTCATCAGACCCACCGCCAATTTTGGACACTGGGGGGAGGGGGGGGTGCTCACAGATGAATGCGGCATGAGTGCTCACTATTATTTTCCGAGGCCTGTCGTCAATTCGTGGATCATCCTCGCGACTTGGCGACGGCCAGCACGGACCTTGCCCAGGATCGGCGTCGGCAAGGTCCTGCGACGTCTTGGTCATGGTCTGGAGGCGGCTGGGGGGGTCCGAGTTGGATGGGCCCCGAGAAAATCGGTCACAAAGGGGGAATGAAGCCAAATCCATTCAAAATCTGCCACATGACCCCCCCTGGGGTCCACCTGGAATTACGAACCTCGAGTCTCTTTCTCCCCTTCCTGGCCAGAACCAGTGCTGTGCCACATCAGACCCCCAGCCGACTCCGAGTCAAGGCTATCGTGCTTCGTCCCTCGAAGCTGAGGCCACCTTCAGGGGATCTCTGCGCGCACCCCCGGGCATTGCAAGCACGGGACCTGTGGCTCTCGACGGGGAAGCGGTCCCTCCCGAGAAGCCCAGGGCCTTCTCAGGAGGCCGCCGCTGCAGTCATCACGCTGCCACAGCGGCCATCTGGTTATGTCGGGCCTGTCCCCCTACAGGGGGATGTTCGACGATTTTAATATATATATATATATATATATATATATGTATATATATATATATGTGTGTATATGTGTATAAACACCCAAAATGCCCCAAAAGGGTCAACAAATATGCAACAAATAGTCCCCAGACCATTTTGGGACTATTGTTTGATTATTTTTGCAATACTTTTTTTGTCGAAAATCCCCCTGTATGGGGGACAGGCCCGACCAATAACCATAGGAGGAGCGAACGGGCTGTGGTGGCCACGGCAGGCCGAGGTCGCGCATCCCACCGGCCCTGCGGTGTGCCACGCGTTCTGTCGGTCCTCTCCCACAAAAAAACTCGTCCTCTCCGGGAGGTTCCCCCCCTCCTCCTCCTCCTCCTCCTCCTCCTCCTCCTCCTCCACCTCCTCCTCCCTCCTCCTCCTCCTCCTCCTCCTCCTCTCCTCCTCCCTCCTCCTCCTCCTCCCTCCTCCTCCTCCTCCTCCTCCTCCTCCTCCTCCTCCTCCTCCTCCTCCTCCTCCTCCTCCCCCTCCCTGAGGTTTTCTGTTGGGAGGGGGGGCGCGACGGGTCAGAACGCCCAAGATGGCCCAAGATGGCTCAAGGAGGGCCTCCGATGCTCCAAGATGGCCTCCAAGAGAGTGCTCAAGATAGCCGGCGAGTGTTCAAGATGGCTTCAGACATGCCTCTAATGGGCCCGCCGAGGGCCACAAGACGGTTCCAAGTGCCCTCGGACCCCCCCAAGAACCCCCCCCCCAAGAAGCCAATATCCTTCAAACGCCTGCGGAACATCAGTGATGCTTGCCTTCTCGCCGTTTCGCGTCCGATGCGCCTTTTGGAGGCCCGAAGAGGGCCCCGAGATGGCCCAAAAGAGGCCCAAGAGGGGCCCACGAGGCCCCCCAGACGGCCCCAGCAGCGCCCGAGATCGGCCCGAGAGCGCCCCAGGAACGGCCCAAGAGGCGATGTGGATGGCCCGAAGGAGGCGATTTGGAGAGCGAGGACCAGCCCATCTTTGATCCATAGCCCCCAAGGTGGCCCCAAGAGGCCCGCCAGGGCCCCCAAGAGGGCCCCAAGAGAGCCCCGGGAAAGCCCCGAAAGGGCCCCAAGACTCCCCCAAATAGCCCCCAGACCCCGCCAAAGAGCCCCAAGAGGACCCTGGGATCCCCCGAAAGAATCCCAAGAGGGCGCGAAGAGGCGATTTTGAAGGCTCTGTCCTCGTCCTCGTTGTCCTCCTCCTTCTCCTCCTCGTCCTCGTCCTTGCCCTCATTGTCTTCCTGCTCCCTTTGCTCCTCGTCCTCGTCGTCGTGGTCGTTGTCGTCCTCCTCCTCCTCCTTCCCTCGCCGTCCACGCGGGCCCCGGTGATGGCCCGAAGAGGCCCTCGAATGCCAACTCCTTGCTCCCAAAGATCTCTCTTTTCACCCCGATTGCCCGCTCTGTTTCAATTTATGGGCCTTTTCGTCCCTTTTTCCCGTCAGCTCGCATGGGCAGAGTCTCTGAATGGGCCGGTAGGGATACTTTTTAGTCAGCGGCCGCAGGCGAGAGCGCCACCGGCGAGTCCAGTCAGAGCGGGCCGCGCAACGACGAATCAGGCAAGGGAAGCGCGGGAAGAACAAACAGAGCGAGGGGCGAGGCGACAACTAAGCGCGGCCGAGACCTCAGATGGGGGGCTGCCGGGGCTGCGCTAAGGGGAACTGCCGGCGCGCACAGCTGCAAGTCAGTCGGAGGCGCACGCGTCGGAAAGCCAACGACGGCCAGGGACAACTCCGAGAGAGAAAACGTGTCACCGTACCTCAGACGACTGCGTGGGCACCAGGGTGGCCGTGGCCAACGAAACGTCGGTCGAGGTGGTGTAGAGAAATGCAAAGGCGAGGCCCCGGACGGCGCGAAACGCGGAAATTAGGGTGGTCCAAAGGACCGTCGACCAAAGAAATGTTGCCAGAGGCGAAGCGTTGGCAGGCTGCAACTCCCAGGGTGGCGGAAGCCGAGGGACCCTTAGCAGCAGCGCGCACGAGTGCGGGGAAGCGGCATAGCCGCGACGCATGCCAAAATAGCGCGGGCCACCACGCACCTGTGCGAGAGCGGGTGTCAGGTTGACCCAGCGCGGGCCCGTCGAGGCACAACGCGCAGAGCAGACACCAGGGAGGACGAGCGTACGAGTACCTCCAATGAACGGAAGCCGAAAAAGAACTACCCGCACGCTCGGCATGCTAGACCAGCCGAAGCCATGACGGCGGCTAGCCCGGGATGAAGAACCGCGATTTGAGCGGAATGCCGAAGCCGAAGCGGTGGGGGGAGCCGGTGGAGATACTTTTTGGGGGGTCGCGGCCGCAGGCGAGAGCGCAAGCAGCGAGTCGTAAGTCCGGGGCGCGGGCCTAATTGACAACAGGAGCAAACTAAAGCCGCGCACCTCAACTGCCTAAACTCATCCGGTGGAGATACGCGAAGCGTGAATAATAGGTTCCTTGACGTAGGTCTCAGGAACGGCCCGAAAATCAGAGCCCCTCCTGGGCCGAAGGCGGTCCTTCTTTCGGCGTCTCGGCTGCAAGAGGCCTGCCCCCTCTCGCCATCACATCCCCCCCCCGCCGTTTGCCCGCCGCCGGTCCGGACGACCATGTCCACCCCGTTCATGGCGCAGAACCTGCGAGTGGCGCCCGCTGCAGAGTGCAGGAGGGGGGAAGCTGTGTCCTCGAAGATGGACCTGTGCTGCCCGCCGGCCATGGGCGACCCTCGGCGGTCTAGCGACGGCATTCGGCGGTCTTCGGTGGCCTTCGGCGGTTGCCGGCGGTCTTTGGCGTGCAAGCTGGAAGGCTGCGTTCAACAAGGGGTCCACGATCGAGCACCTAAATGATGGACCCAGACATCCGCGCGTCGCGAAAACTCACGAGGGATTTCTGTTGCGCGCAGTGCGGGGGGCTCCACGAGCCGTTTGCGGGCCCAGGGGCCATCGCAGGAACGACCCGTGACGAAAATGACCTCGTGACAGGGCCTAGAGCTCCAGGAGCCCACGTCGCGACAGCAAAAACCGCGTCGAAACGCTGGGGAAGAAGCACGGGGCGTCAAACGCTCTGTCGTGAACCACGCTGACGTGTGTGTTCTTCTGGCCCCAGCGAGAAGGACGGAGGGAGGAGGGCGCGGGAAGCGACGAGGAAGAAAACTGGAAATTGGGAAGGGGGGGGAGGGGAGCGGAGCGGACCAGAGTGGAGCGCGCACCGTTGGTCTGACGGACCAGCCCTGCGAGGGCAGCGCGGGCGGCTAGGGGCCCAGATGCAGGAGTCGGCGCGGTGGGAGCCGGAGCCGGAGGGGGCCAGAGCCGGATGGGAGTCGGAGCCGGCGGAACCGCAGCGCAGGAGGACGTGCCCACCAGAGCCGGAAAGACCAGTGCCACAGTCGGAGAGTGGTGAAGCAAGCTATGCCCGTGCTGTTGGAGCTGTGCCTGGATGCGTGGCCGAGGACTTGCCAGGATGCCCCCGGCCGCCGCGACGCGCGCGCGGCGTGCGGACCTGCACGGCTCTGCAGGAGCCCGCCGCCTCGAGGCAGGCACGGCGGAGCCAGGGGGGCCCTCGCGGCCTGGGCAGAGGCCGTACCCGAGCCTCTGGACTCTCGCGGCTCTGCGGGGAAACGCTCGGGGGGGGGGGGGCGGCAACATCGAGCTTGAATCGGCGATGCATCGCCGACAGATCGGGGTACGGTCAACTCATCTAATGGAGGCTGCGCGGTAAGGATGCAAGGGCCTTCGAGGGCCATGCGATTATCTATAGAACGGTTGGCCAGCGAAAGTCGCTGAGGGGGCAAGGATGCCAGGGTCGCCCCGGAAAGTCGCTCATCCATACTATGCGGCCTGGCTGTAGGCTCCCGACGGCGGATCCGCTCGCTCCTGCGCGGAGCGGGCTATGCGGCCTCTGTCGGCGATGCACGGGGCCACACGCGCAGCCGGTGCCGTTCTCGTCGCGACGTCCGCCCCCGCTTCTGGCGCCGGCCGGGAGGGAGGGGCCTCTGAGTCACGTCCCAGCCGAACTTCACGGCCGTCTTGCTGCGAGGCGACGGGTGCGCGCCGAACACCTTCCTCGGGGCAGGCGGTGCGGGAGGCCCCCCCGCTCTCGGCGGGCCTCCCCGAATCCGAGGCTCACCCGTCTCTGGGAGGAGCGCCAACTATACACCCACACGGGTCCTTGCTCAGCCCGTTGTGGGCCCAGGGTGAGTGCATGCGCCCTTCTAGCCTGGCCGTAGAAGCATGTGCGTAGTGACCCTGGGCCTGAAGTACAGCGACTCGCCTCTCAGCTCTCTCCCTTCGCCCTGCCTCCCCCTGACCCTCCCTGCTGCCTTGAAGGGCGACGAGGTCGGCGGCGATCGGGAGATCGACCTGGCGTGCTGGTCGAGCTGCAAACTGCAAACTGAGAGGTGAGAGCTCGGAGCTCGCGCCAGCGCGCCGCCAAGTGCGAGACAGCTTCTCTTCGGGATCCATCTGGTCACTCTGCTCCACCGCCTGCCTCTCCGATTCCCTGCCCTTCTCCAGTCCCGCTCCCCTTGCGCCCCCTGCGCCCTGTTCGCCGGACGGGAGTCGCGGCGCGCTCCCCCCGAGCCCGAGCGGCCAGCTCCGATCCGGCAGGCGGTAACTAAGGGCATATCCTCGTGCTCCGCGTGCCGCAGCGGCGGCCCCTGGGGCACGCCGTGCCCTGCCAGCGGCTAGCGCGTCGTTCCGCTCCGCGGGGCGCGAGAGCGGGAAGAGCTCGGGACGCTGACGCCTGGGGACCGGGGCGTGCGTGTCGTGCCAGAGCGTACAGTCGGGGCGTTGACCTAAGGAACCCGAAATAAGGAACGAGGCCCCTTTTGTCCAGAAATTGAACTTCGATCTCGCATCGAAAACCTGAGGAAAACATGAGGCAAGCTGCGAAACACTTAAGGAACGCGGAGCCCCTCCCCAACGAAAAGGGTTCCTTCTTCAGGGCCCCGACGGTAGTGGGCCAGAACTGGCGGCGCGACACGCCAAGCAAGCGTCTCTGACCGCTGGAACAGACGGCGCGGCCACGCGCAGCACCCAAGGACGGGCTGGGGAGTGCCATCACCTGTCTGGGCCCAGACCTTGGCACGCGAAGCGTTTTGCCAGCGGGAGTTCCGAGCGCCAACTAAAGCCATGCCCAATAACATAAGAGCAAGACGTATCAGGAATCGGCATTTTGTTGATCTGAGTGTGCCTTGAGCTAGACTGGTGCACTGAAATGTTTTGCACCCCACCTCAATGACGACCCCATGCGATGCAATTCGGAGCAGCGCAGCGGAACGCAAAGAAATACAAGGGAACGAGATATGCATAACATCAGCGAGAGGCAGTGCAACTCAACGCATTGCACAGCAAAGCATGTGGAGCAACTCAGCGCATGGCAAAACAATGGACTGTCACACGGTTCAGCGCCAAGCAAGTCAAACTGCATGTACATATGTCAAGCAATGCGAAACAATAAAAGGAATCCGGCACGACCCCAATTGAAGAAGGAATGCTTCCTGTGGGCGCAGTGCGTGGCATCACTTGGCATTGCTTTGCATACTGCTTGACATGGCTCGGCAACGCGCGGCGCTGCTCGGGCACTGCCTGGCAGTGCGTGACATTGCTGGGCATTGCTTACAATAGCACTGCGTGGCATTCCGTGGCACTGCACGGCATGGCTTGGCAACGCGTGGCGAGGCAGCCTGGAACCGAGGCCAAGGAACCCCAGGAGCCAAGACCAGGCAACAGAGGAGTCACGACCGGGGGACCAGGGAGCCCACGAGCCGAGACCAGACAAGCAAAGAACCAGGACCAACGAAGCACGGTGCCAAGGCCAGGGAACCTTCAGGGAGCCGAGGCCAGGGAACCAAAGAAGGAAGACCAGGGAGCCAAAGGACCCCAGACCCAGGAACCTCGGAGGCAAGGCCCAGCGACTCAGTGACCCGAGGCGGGCAGCGAGAACCCGAGGCCAAAGCACCGAAGCACCAAGGAAGCAAAGCACCAAGACACCCGGAGGAGCCCGGCCGGCTAGCACAGGCCCAGCACACACACACACACCTGCAATTCAGACACCAGGAGGAGCCCCCTGGGCAGAACCTAATTTGGGAAGGAATGAAGGGCACGCAGCGCGAGACTAAGCAATGCCATGAGTTTTTCAGAACGCCACTGATTCCCATACATTGCATGAAACACAGAGCGAAACGCTCCAACTAACAACAGACTTGAGCTAAACAGAACGACCGAAACAAAGAAGCACAACACTCCTTAAGAAAACTGCGAAGGAGTCCTTAAGCAATCCGGCCTCAAGACACAGCACCATAGGGACCCTTGCCTATTGAAAGTAAGGACCCCTTCGGCCTCAGACGAATATGATTGGACAGTCTTGCTTCACCTTGCAAAAGCCTTGCTGCACCGTACGTCGCCCGAATCACTTCCTTGGCTGTGTCTGGGACGGGCTATGACATGTCCGAGAGAAGCAGGCACATGCCCCGACACCACGATCGCTCGCTCAGCTGGCCATTTGGAGACCGCAATCAGCTTTTCCGCCATATGGGGAAACCAAAGAATACCGATACTGCTACTCACCGGACCTCTCACTGGGGGTCCTCTGGCCAGAACTTTGAGGACAATCCAGCAGTGGCGACGATGGACTCCAAGGAGGCTCAAAAAGACGAAGACGAGAGAGGGGTAGCGGTATCGCTATCTGTGTCCCCTTCTGGTCAGAAACAGATTCCTCCCCCTCAAGCGGCGGTGTCCTGCTGGCCAGGTTGCTGTCGTCCTCTATGGGATCAGACCTGGCTGGCCGGCGGCGCGCTCGGGCCCCACCGAGGCGAGTGCAGAGAAGAAAAGGCCGACGAGCAGAGCGACGTGAAGATCCCGGAGGTGCCCAAACAGGGCGCGATCGGGAGGATGCAATGAGCATCGTTCAAGCGATCCGAGTCACCACTGGCCTGGTCATCATGGGCCTACTGACCGAGTTCCCCCCCAGATCGGGATACGTGATGTTCCATTCGGATGTTGCGGGACATGTCCCCAAGCGTGGGGGGGGGTGGCCGGTGGGGCTGAGATGCCATGGCCAGGTACGCATGGGGATCGTTGAAACGATGCTGACATGAGAAGAGAGATCAGGGATCACGTGAGCAAGGGGACTACGGGCAGGAACTGTTGCTCAGCGTATCGCGGCGGCGGCCCCCGGCGACACGCTATACCCTCCCTGCAATCTGAAAGGTTGTCGTTCCCTTCCGCGGGTTGGGGAGCTGGGAGAAACCCATGGCACTGATGCCTGTTGGGGCCTGAGACGTCGAAAACGTGTCGTGCCGAAGCGTGGTGGGCCAGAACCCGCAGCGAGACACGCTAAGCCAAAGTTCCTGACTGTAGATCAGCGAGGTCAGCGAGACAGGACTGGCCCAAGACCCGAAAGGCCAGAAACTCAATCACACGCGGCCGCTGTTGGCTTGACGACCGAACCTTTTCGTCGGACACTGCCCACGACTGTCCAGCAATCCCTCTCAAGGGCGCCGCCGAATGAGCCTGAATCAATGTGTTCAATGGGGCGCGCTCAATTTCACTTCCTTGTTGCACCGATTTCCTTTTAGATTACGATGCCTGGCGCCATGTGAGCAAAAACGAACCTTCGCCAGCAGTTTGGTTGGCATTGTGGGTAAGGGCAAGAGGGTTTTTGCATACGGTAAAACTGGGGTACAAGTGGAGGTGTACGAAGATTGGGCACTTCTACTCATTGTCCTCACTTCCCCTCGACTCATGCAGGACTGACGCTTCAACGACCTGCCCGTTCGGCCCGGCAGGCCGGGCCCGCAAACCCGCCCCGCCTGTGAAGGTCCGCCCGCCCAATCCGGCCATCTGGTTCCGCGTCTCCTTTTCCTGCTCCCAGCCCCCCTCCTGTTCATCTCTGTCGTGCTCCATCCTTCTCCCTCCTCCTTGCCGTCCCTTCCCCTGTCTTGGGGGCTGCGCCAACTACACGCGCAAGGTAAGGAAGATATGCCCCAAAGGGGGGAGAGATCGAAGACGAAGAGGGCGGATACCGAGGGCTCGGGATGCACATGATTGTTGAATGACGCGCTAGCAGAAAGAGCAAACAGTCTCAAATTGATGTTACTGTTGTGATGTCGGCCTCACCCACAGCACGCCCGCGACCCGCCCGCGACCCACACGTAGCCCGCCCGCGAACCAACCGCGACCCTCCTGCGACCTACCATCCCACGACCCACCCGCGACCCACCCGTGACCCGTACATATTGCTCTGACGAACCGAAACGGCGCCTGCGGCGGCTCGTTGCGCAGTGTCTTAAAGCTATGCGACGTTGTCCTTTAGAGCCTCGCAGACCGCCGCCGACCCCTCCCCGCCCGCCCGCTCACGTTTGTCCGCAACTGTGGGGTCTGTGGTCTATTTATACCGCCTTGTCTGTTTCAGAGACCTCCTCCCTTGGAGGCCGCCGGGGGGTCTGAATTGGATGGGGCCTCAGAACGTGGATCAAGCGGGGGGGACGGGGCCAAATCCAAGGAACCGAACTCTACACACCGACGCTCCCGGACCTGCACCAAAATAAAACACGGGATATCGGATCCTGGTGTATACGGGGTCCTGGTGTGTACATGTTTCGTTGTTTCCCCGGGGGAAGAAACGGATAAAACAAAGATGCACCACACCACCACGACGTCGTCCCCGACCTTCAAAAATCCAGGGATTGAAAAACAACCCGCCACTGGTAATGCTTGGGAGGTTGGGGGGTTAGAACGGAAGTGACCCCAAACGGGAAATCGGTTTCGGTTTCGGTTCGGTTCGTGTCGTGAGTGCGGGCGAGGCGAAGCTGCGCGATTTCTACCCTTAGTAGAACCCATATAATGCCAAAGAGGCCGCCCCCCGAAGGCCCGTCGAAGCGTCCGGTTGTCCCGATGGTTGTTCCGATGGTTTGTCCCGAAGGTTGTCCCGATGGTTGTCCCGATGGTTGTCCAGATAGTTTGTCCCGATGGTTGTCTCGATGGTTGTCCCGATGGTTGTCCCGATGGTTGTCCCGATGGTTTGTCCCGATGGTTCTCCCGATGGTTGTCCCGATGGTTGTCCCGATGGTTGCCCCGATGGTTGTCCCGATGGTTGTCACGATGGTTGTCCCGGTGGTTGTCTCGATGGTTGTCCCGATGGTTGTCTCGATGGCTGTCCCGATGGTTGTCCCGATGGTTGTCCTGATGGTTGTCCCGATGGCTTGTTCCGATGGTTTGTCCCGATGGTTGTCCTGATGGTTGTCCTGATGGTTGTCCGATGGTTTGTCCCGATGGTTGTCCCGATGGTTGTCCCGATGGTTGTCCCGATGGTTGCCCCGATGGTTGTCCCGATGGTTGTCCCGATGGTTGTCTCGATGGTTGTCTCGATGGTTGTCCCGATGGTTGTCCCGATGGTTGTCTCGATGGTTGTCCCGATGGTTGTCCCGATAGTTTGTCCCGATGGTTGTCCCGATGGTTGTCTCGATGGTTGTCTCGATGGTTGTTCCGATGGTTGTTCCGATGGTTGTCCCGATGGTTGCCCCGATGGTTGTCCCGATGGTTGTCCCGATGGTTGTCCCGATTGTTTGTCCCGATGGTTGTCCCGATGGTTGTCCCGATGGTTGTCCTGACGGTTGTTCCGATGGTTTGTCCCGATGGTTGTCCCGATGGTTGTCCCGATGGTTGCCCCGATGGTTGCCCCGATGGTTGTCCCAATGGTTGTCCTGATGGTTGTCCCGATGGTTGTCCCGATGGTTGTCCCGATGATTGCCCCGATGATTGCCCTGATGGTTGATATATAGATAGGTCGATGGATAGAAAGGTGGATAGATATATACAGGTATCTAGCTAGGTAGATCGATGGATAGATGGTTAGCTAGATATGGCTGTCCCGATGCTGTCCTGGGATGAGCGCGAAACGCATGCTAATCGCACATGGTCGCAAAGCGTTTCGCGCGCCTCGCGCGCGAAACGCATGCGAACCATAAATGTTGCAAAGCGCTTCGCGCGCTGCGCGCGCGAAACGCATGCGAACCATACATATTGCAAACCGTTTCGCGCGCTGCGCTCGCGAAACGCATGCGAATCATAAGTCTTACAAGGCATTCCACGCGCTGCGCGCGCGAAGCGCACGATATATAGTTAGATATATAGGTATCTCGATCGAACGATATATGGTTAGCTACATCGATTGTTCGAAATATGTCTATATAGACATATATATACAAATATCTTACAATTTACAGATATAAGTATTTACATGTCGAAATACATAGTGATAGACATACATATATATATACAGATATAGATATAGATCTGCAGATGTGCGCGACAATAGGGAAGTCGAAGAAACCACCAAAGAACCCAGAGCCATCGCAAATCGCCCGCCTCCCCCTTCATCCCCCCCCGAACCTCCTTATCACCCGTAGGGTGATCCTATCGGTATGTTCCAGTTTCCGAAAATCCGCTCAAACTCGATTCCCAGACCCCTCCTGCAGCTCATCTCATGTATTTTGTTCACCCCAAATCCGTTTTTGACGGCCCCTGGGTCCAGGACCCCGAAGGCCGAACAGGGCAACCAAACCTTGCCGAGCCCAGCGCCCCTCTAACCCGCCCGTCCTTCCAGCTCGCCAGAGGCGAAGCTAGGTCACCTCAGACCCCCAGCCGATTCCAACTCCCCCCCCTCCTCCTGCCCCCCCGGGGGGTTCCGAGGGACCACAGGATGTTCCACAGCCAGTCGTGGGCCTGCAGGTCCTTGTGCAGAAGGGGCCTCTGCACAGCCTGGCCGCCGGCGGCGGGCGGCCGCGGCGGCGGCCACCGACGACCACCACCGCGACAGCAGCGCAGCAAGAGGGGGGAGCGAGGGCGTAGGAGGAGGGAGGAGGAGGAAGGAAGAGAAAGAGGCAGGAAGAGGAGGAGGAGGAAGAGGAGAAGGAGAAAGAGAAGGAGGAGGGAGGGAGGGATGGGACGGGAGAGGTACTGTGTGGATACCGTCATAAGGAACAGCGCGTGAGGAAGAAAACATCCTGATTCACACGTTGTCTTGGAAACGTGAAACGAAACCGAGCCCCCTTTCCTGCGGCGCTCCGTCACCGTTGGCCGCTTCCGCCAATGCACGATCTTGATATCCTACGGGCCAACGAACGACAACCTCAGCCACCAAATAGAGCCTTGGCAAAACACGCAACAACCGCGTCAGGGCACCGAGCTGGGACGCGAAAAGGACAGCCCCTTGCACATGTCCAGCCGACTCTCTTCGAGCGCTGCCCGCAATCAGTCAAGGGGCCCAAGGACACACAAATATCTACACAAAAATAAAAGGATTCCCCATATTTTCCTATATTTTGTGGGTGTTTGTCTGCCCGCCCAATTCCCACACTTTCCATGTTTTCTTGGGGATCGACGATGAATTGTGTCTCTGTGTTGTTTCCCCTCCTGAATCAGGGGGCCAGAGTCTGGCATGCTTGTCGGCGTGAGCACGAGGAGGCACGAAGCGAAGAAGGGGGAGGACGACGAAGGAGTGCATCGGCGGTGGACAAACCTCCCTTTAGTACACCTCCCCTTAGGGAAAAAACGACCTAGGACCGAAAGCGACGGACCTAGACCCGCAAACATAACGGCCGCGACGCCCTCTCGCGAGCCGAAAACGGCCAGTTCACTAATCGACGTGTCAGGGTAGGAGGTCTGTCCACCTCCGAGTGCAGTGACAAGTAGGAGGAGCATAACTTCCAAGGAGGGGAGGTCCTCGCGATCTTTGATGCTACCCTATGGCCGGTTGGGGCCGTCTGGAGCCACCTTCAAGCATCTTGGGGGCCTCTTGCGGACCTTTCGGGACCCTCCTGGCGGCATCTGGGGTCTTTTCTGTGCGCGGTATTGCTCGCCTGCAAGCCTTCGATCGCAGGTGCGAGTGCCGGCCCGAGTCTTCGCTACGGCCTGGACTTCTACAGTGTCAAACAAATCATCCCCTCTTCAAACGGCGGTAGAAGGCACGCGGGCAATATTGGTGAACGGCGGTGTCGGGTGCGCACGTCACGCAGATAGCGTTAACATGCCGAAAAGCTCGGTGCAGATCTGCCCATTCCTGGCGAGCACCCGAAGGCTTGAAAGCATGCCATGCCGAAGATAAGGATGCGGGGCGGGCGCCAGCAATCTCTGGCCGACTTGCAAATAATAGCCAAATAATAGCACCAAAACGTGCCACGCAGCACTTATCGCTGCGAACGTCCGGGTGCACAGACCCAGGCCCAGAGTAGAGTCAAACCACGCAACACCCACCCACACGGACTGTACAGACGTCTGAGAACATGAACCGGCGGCAGCACGGGCCGCACAGGCCCCGAAAACACATCAAGCAGCAGACCTGCCACCCGTGCCATCCGTCCGGGGAGGCCTAGAGCCAAGAGAAACCGGCCGCTGCGGCTCCTGCTCGCCTCGACGGAGGCCTGGGCCTCCCGGGCGCTGGGCGCTGCCGCGGGCCACCGGCTCTCGTCGGCAGCCTGCCGCCGTCGGCAGCGGACAGCGGCGCGGTGCGCTGAGTATTGCCGACAACCGCCGACCCTCGTCGGCAGCTGCTGGTGCTGCCAGGAGCGAACAGCGGAGGGGTGCGCGCTGCCGACAGCCATCGACCCTCGTCAGTAGCTGTCGCTGTCCAGGGCGGACAGCGGGGCGACGCCCTGGCCCGCCTGCTCGTGGAGCAGCTGCGCCTCGGCGTCCTGCAGAGCGTAGGCCAGGCTCTGGCAGCGCTCGACGGCCTCCAGGCTGTCCTCGCCGGCGAGGAGGCACGCCTCCATCGACAGCGCGCGGAGCTCCTCCACCCGCTGCTCGGCGGCGGCGATGGACTGCGCCCTCGCCCCCCTCTGCGCGCGGGCCGGAGGCGGAGCCTGGAGGACCACGGCGAACGTCTCCGGGCACGCGCGTGCGAGGAGCGCCGCCGCCGCGGCGAGGGCCGCGAGGGTCGCGCGGGACGTGCGGCGGGCGGCGCGGCAGGGGGTCATCGCGGCCGGGGGCGAGCGGGTGCGCCGCGCTGCGGGCGGTGTCTGACCGTTGCTGGACCGAAAAACACGCTCGAGAGCCCAAATGGCTACGGACGGAGTCTGGGGTCTTCTTGGGCTGCCTGGGCGTGTCTGAGGGTTCTGTGGGGGCTCTCCTAGGGGCCGTCCTGGCGCCATCCTATGGCTTTTGGGGGCCGTCTAGGGGCCTCCTGGAGCGCTCTTGGGGGCATCTTGTGGCCCTCGTTGGGTCCTGTGGGGGGTCCTTTGGGGCTCTTCCGAACTTTTTAGAAGCCCTCTTTTGGACCACCTTGGTACGGACCCCCGCCCAGAGCCGATATGTTGAGGATGTCCTGAGCGAAACAGCCATGTTTCGCTCAGAAACCTAATCGGACCAGAACGCGAAGCGCCAATTTTGTCTATTGGGCTCCTGAGGGGTACTGCCGGCTCGTGTCGTGTCGACTTCGGCGTTGGTTTCTGACACCGCCGGGATTGCTCATCCTTGAACGATCGGCCGTTTCTATAACGTCAGGTCGTTCCGCATCGACCGATTCTAGGTCGCCGAGCGGCGTTCAACGTTGAACGGCGGCGGAATCGCCGCCGGTCGACACAACGCGAACCCACAGGTGGGGGGGGGAGCACAAAGACGGAACACTTAGGTCGGGCATGTCCCCCTACAGGGAAATTTTGGCCGAGAAATGACAAATACTACAAACATACCTACAAATATATTAAAAACAACGCTCAAACATCGTCCCCTGACTATTCTCTTACTTTTTTTAAATACTCCTTCTGTAGAGGGACGGGCCCGACTTAACGGAACACACACGATCACACACACACACACGTGTTTCAAACATGCTATAAAAATGGTTTCAAACATGTGTTTAACATATTTAAAAAAAATGAGCCACCTTTTAGACATCTGGAAATTATTCGGCAACCTGCTTCCTCTCCATTAGTAGGGGGCAAACAGACCTACCTCGCTTTTGACCACCCTCGCTTCCAAGAGATGCCAAGCGGTGCCAAACTGCGGCCTGCACTGGTCAGGCCGCTCGGCGAGGAGGCGCGTGGTATGACCTGGTCTTGCCTGGAAGCGAAAGCGGGGGGGTAATTCACGCTCAAAAAATGTTTCAAACATGTGTTTGACATATTTTTATGAAAACTTGCTTAGACATCTGGAAGTTATTAGGCAACATGCTTCCTCTCCATTATCGGGGATGGACAGACCTCCCTTTAGTAAAACGTGGTTTAGTGAAAATGACCTCGGGCCCAAACCTGCGCCCTCTCGAGAACCGAAAAACGGACAATTCACTAATCGACGTGTCACTGTTAGGAGGCCTGTCCACCCCCGACATTGATCGACTTCCACAATGCAGGACTGGCTTCGCGTGCGGAGCGCACAGGGCGCCGCGCCTCGTGCCGAGGGCTGGCCCGCCCGGCCCCACGGGGGCTCGCGCGCCCGCGCGGCCGGCGGCCGCGCGGGGGCCCCGCTCTCGCCCGGGGGCGGCCGCGCCACGCGCATCTCTGCAGGGGCCCCGGCTGGGTAGTCCGAGCCAAGCTGGCGCCAATCTGGCAGGCCCAATCTGGCAAACAGGGGCAGTCTGGCGAGGGAGCCCACGCGAAGCCAGTCTGGCGAATCACCCAAAGCATCCAGCTTGGCCAGGCCAGATTGGCCCTTGGGGCCCAATCCAATCTGACAGTCTGGCCTTCGACGATGCAGCCTGGGACACACAAATACATAGACACAGCTAACCGGATTCCCCATATTGTCCCATGCTTTCTGGGTTTTCGTCTTCCCCCCACTTCCTCCCACATTTTCCCATCTGTTCCTGGGAGTCGACGAGTAATTGTGTCTTTGTGTTTTTTTCCCCTCCTGAATCTTGCCATCACTCGGTCGTCCGGTTTTCCCGTATAGCTCTGTCGGTTTCGTGCGTGATCTCTTTTGTCCGATGATCCAGGGTGCGCTCCTCGATGGTCCCCGCCGAGATAAAAAAGGCACACCAACGAGCGATGCCAAGGTAGCAAGCTTCCCCGCGGGGCGGAGGGCTGCTCACCCTCAGAGGGCCACGGAAACAGCAAGGCCGTTTTTTCTATGTTTTCGGAAATGTGCCTCTTGGAAATGGGAGCGGTATGACAACGGCGACCAACAACGGCAAAAAAACGGTTCCGGAATTGGAGCCGGAACCAGAACCGGAAAGAAAACGGCGACGGAACCGTCAACACAGACGGCGACGGAACCAGCAACAAAAACGGCAAAACGGAACCAACAAAAAAACGGCCCTGTCGTTTCCAGGGACCACGGAGCGCTCACCATCCCCAGCGGCGCTCCTTCAGGTCCTTGAGCAGCCAGGAGCCGTCGCCGATGCCCCCGTGCAGCACGAGGACCTTCTGCCCCACCACGGTGGCCAGTGGCAGCTGGCGCAAGGGCGGGGAGGGATACTCAGAGCTCTCGCTGGCACCCGCCCGCGCCACCACGCCCGATATCTCCTTCGTGTTACTACGTCCTGTCTCCGCAAGGCCATACTTCACGCCATCGCCCCCCTGTTCACACAAAGGCACGCAGCGCCCACTTAGAAAGCGGTCGAAACTCTGAAACTCTTCCTCCTCCTCCTCCTCCTCCTCTTCCTCCTCCTCCTCCTACTCTAACTCATACTCCTACTCCGACTCCTATTCCTGCTCTTCCTCCTCGTTCCCCGTGCCTCGTCCTCCTCCTGGTTCCTCCACGTCATCCTTCTCTCCTCCTCCTCATTATTCTCCTCCTCCTCCTCCTCCGCCTCCTCGTTTTTTGAAACCCCTTCCTCCATGTAGGACGCTCGCAAGTGCTCCGCGGACATATGGTTGTTTTACTTGTCATCGGTGTATTAGGCACGCGAGCGAGCTGTGGGGCGGTCTGCGAAGCCCGTGCTGCCCAGGGAACACTGGGATGATATGGGGAAGGCTGAATCGTCTGCGCGGCAGCCTGCATCGGGCCACGAATCGGCCACGACAAAGGGACACATCGTTTGGCTGTTTTTAGCATGGCTCGGGGACAGCCCAACTTCTCGAAATTCGGCCGCGAGGTATTTGGAAGATTTCCTCTGGAAACTCCTTCGTGCTACTTGATTCCAACAGAACCCTCCTCCTACCACTACTACACGATACTCATTCCTCCTCGCCTCTTCCTCCTCCTCCTCCTCCTCCTCCTCCTACTACTAGTACTACTACTACTACTACTACTACTACTACTACTACTACTACTACTACTACTACTACTACTACGACTACGACTACGACTACGACTACTACTACTACTACTACTACTACTCCTACTCCTACTGCTACTGCTACTGCTACTGCTACTAACTACTACACTACCACTACTACTACCACGGACCTACCACTACTAACACTACTACTACTACTACTACTACTACCTACTACTACTACTATACTACTACTACTAACTACACATGCTACACTACTACTACTACTACTATTACTATACTACTACTACTACTACTACTACTACTACTACTACTACTACTACGTCTGCCACTACGACTACGATTACTGTTATTACTATTACTAATATTTCTACGACTACTACCACTACTACTACTACTACTACTACTACTACTACTACTACTACTACTACTACTACTACTACTGCAACTACTATTACTACTACTACTACTACTGCTGCTACTACTACGACTACTACTACTACTACTAGCTAGCTAGTACTGTTACTACTACTACTACTACTACGACTACTACGACTACTACTACTACTGCTACTACTACTACTACTACTACTACTACGACTACGACTGCGACTACTACTACTACTACTACTACTACTCCAACTACTACTGCTACTGCTACTACTACTACTACGACTACTACTACTACTCCTACTAACTACTACTACTAGTACTACCACTACGAATACAACTACTACTACGACTACTACTACTACCACTACGTCTACTACGACTACTACTACTACTACTACTACTACTACTTCTACTGCTACTATTATGGCTACTACTACTACTACTACTACTACTACTACTGCTACTACTACTACTAGTACGACTACTACTATTATAACTAACACTGCTACTACTACTACTAACTACTACGACTACTACTGCAACTGCTACTGCTACTACTCACGACTACTACTACTACTACTACGGCTACTAAACTCTACTACACTACTGCTAACCACTCCTCCTCCTACTACTACTACTACTGCTACTACCACACTACTACTACTACTAACGACTACTCTATACTTATCACTACTACTACTGCTACTACTACTACTAACTTACTACTACTACTACTACTACTCTGCTATACTACTACTACTACTACTACCACTACTACTACTACTACTACTACTACTACTACCACTACCACTACTACTACTACTACTACTACAACTACTACTACTACTACTACTACTACTACTACGACTGCTACTACTACTACTACTACTACTACTACTTCTACACCTACGACGACGACTACTACTACAACTAATACGAATACTAATACCAGTACTAGTACTAGTACTAGTACTAGTACTAGTACTAGTACTAGTACTAGTACTAGTACTAGTACTAGTAGTAGTACTACTACTACTACTACTGCTACTACTACGGCTACACTAACGACTACGACTGCGACGACGACAAAGACGACGACAAAGACGATGACGACGACGACAACTACTACTACTACTACTACTACTACGACTACTCCTGCTACGACTACTTCTACGACTAGTTATACAACTAATCCTACCACGACTACAACTACGACTACGACTACAACTACTACTACCACTACGTCTACTGCTACTACTACTACTGCTACTACTACTACTACTACTACCACTACCACTACGACTACTACTGCTACGACTGCGACTACGGCTACGACTACGACAACTACAACTACTACGACCACTACAACTACTAGAACTACTTCCTACTCCTTCGACGACGACTGCTATTACTACTACGACCACTACTGAAACGATTGATAATACACCCATCACGACGACTACTACTACTACTACTACTGCATCTGCTGCTACCACTACCACCACGACTACTGCTACGACTAATAGTACTACGACTACTTCGGCTACCACTACTACTACCACTGTTACTGCTACTACTACTACTACTACTACTACTACTACTACTACTACTACTACCACTGCTACTATTACTTCTACATCTAGTACTACTAGTAAGACTACTTCTACGACCGCGACTACAACTTCTACTACTACTACGACTACTGCTGCTACTACTATGCCTCCGACTACTACTTCTACGACGATCCCTGCTGCGACTACGACTGCTACTCCTACTAGACGACTACTACTACTACTACTACTACTACTACTACGACTACTTCCTACTACTCCTACTACGGCTACCACTACTACTGCTACTACTACGACTACTACTACTACTACTACTACTACTACTACTACTACTACTACTACTACTATTACTACTACCCACCTTCTCACTACTACTACGACAAGTACGACCTCGACTACTGCTACGGCCACTACGCCTTCTACTATCACTACTACTGCTACTAGTACTACTACTACTACAACTACGACGACGACGGCTGCTACTACTACTGCTGCTACTAGTACTACTACTACCAGACAGACCTACGAATACGACCACGACTACGACTACTACTAGTACGACCACTACTACGACTACTACTACTACTACTACTACTACTATGACAGCTACGGCTACGACACTACGAGTACTACTACTACGACTACGACTACGACTACTAGTACTACTACTACTACTGATACTACTACTACTACTACTACTACTACTACTTGCACTACTACTACTACTACTACTACTACTACTACTACTACTACTACTACTACTACTACTACTACTACCTACTACTACTACTACTACTACTACTACTACTACTACTACTACTACTACTGCTACTAATGGTACTGACACTGATGCAGCTACTGTTGCTACTACTACTACTACTACTAGCACTACGACTACGACTACTACGACTACCGCGATTACTACTACTACTACTACTACTACTACTACTACTACGACTACTATTACTAGCCTACTACGACTACTAGTGCGACGGCGACTACACGAACTCTGCGAATACGGCTACTACCACGTCTACCGTTTCAACTAATACTATTACCACTACAACTCCTACGACCGGTTCTGCTTCCACGACAGCTACGACTACCACTACCACTACTCTACAACTGCCACTACTACTAAAACTACAACTACAAGTGGTACGACGACTACTGTTACTACCACTACTACGACTACTACTACGACTACTACGGAAAAAAACTACGGCTACCACTATCAATGCTACACCTAATACAGATTCGATTAATACTCCTACGACTCTTACGGGTACTACGACTGCGACTACTACTACTACTACTACTACTACTACTACTACCACGACTACCTCGACTACCCCTACGACTACTTCTTCTTCTACAACTACTACTGCTACGAGTGGTAGTACTACTACCAGAATGACGACTACTACTACTACTACTACTACTACTACTACTACTACTACTGCTACTACTACTACTACTACTACTACTATTACTACGACTACTCCTGCTACGACGACGACTACTACTTCTACTACTGATACTACGACTACGACTACGACTACGGCTACGCCTGCGACGGCGGCTACGACTACGACTGCGAGTACTACGATTACTCCTAATACTGGAGCTACTGCTACTGTTACGATTACTACTACGACCACAACGACTATCAATGCTGCTGCTACTTCTACGACTGTTACTACTACTACTACTACTACTACTGCTACTACCACTACTACTAGGACTACGACAGCTACTACTTC